ACTGAAAATGTTCGAACCAGATGTACGTGGTTATGTATGTACACCAACACACAGTCCAGTACTTGATTATCCTTGTACCTTTGCCGTTCTTCCTTCAACCGTGGGAATGTGTAGTTCGGCACCTTTATCTCGCGAGTCGATCTAGCACCCAACCGTTCCTCCCGTATACCTGAGATCATAAACACATTAACACTGCGTTTATACACCTCCATCTTAACATTAATACGTTCCACCAACGTCTCCACATGTTCCAATTTCAACCAGCACGGTCGCTCAGGCATAAACTCTCTGACAAGCCAGTCGACAATGAAATCGATCTCCGGCTTACACCACTCCTTATGAATGGAATGAGGCGTCCCTGCGTTATCAGGCGCTATGTGTGTTTCCAACATCCTCAGCGGCGGGAATCGAACAGGTTGCAGCAATTCCAATACACTCCACACCGTATCATGGTAAGGCTCACCGTCTTTCGTCTTTAACTGAATCAGATGACGCGCGTCAGGATTGATGCGTTTAGTCGAGTACCGTTGCACGTACTGCAGCAACAACTGCCATGCAAGTGCAATGTACACACACTGGCCTACATTGTCTTCAGGTATGGGGACAAAGTAGGAACTAGGGAGATATAGATTAGGGCGTTTCGTCTTCGAACCTACACACCGTCCCCGCTCCTGCCGCAACACCTCATCATCCCTTTCTCCCCATACAATGGCAGAAGCTTCTCTAGCAAACTCATGGGTAGCAGAATACACGCCATTAAACACGCTGACGTCTGATAGTCCACCAAGCATACCCGGAGACGATACCAACTCAAACAGTGTGGAGAAGTTCAGAGTCGTAGACTCGGTCAACTGAAAAGCGGCGTCGTAGTTGTTAGCCAGGGTAGCACGTAAAACAAGAACCTTTAGGATAAGAGTGCTGATGTACTTTGTGAAACGAAACTTAATGTTCTCCCGAGTAAGACCGATCTTGTCAAATTCCAACTGAAAGTTCAATGTGCCTGAGGTAATAGGGTCTCCGATACTCTTTCCGCTTATGGAAGTATTGAGGTATTTCTCCAATGACAAGGTTAGCTGCAGGTTACGACTAGAACTCGTAATCAGGTTGAAGAATTTCCGGTTGGCAGAAGGTCCCCAGGTCCCAGGCTCTGTTTGATGGACAGTAGTCACATACTTGATGTACGGTCCGACCAACAGTTCAGCAATCTTATCACGTACAGGTTCCAGGAATTCGTTAACAGCCCGTGTTCTTGGAGCCAGAACTCCCGACCCCTCCTCTTCGGTGTTGGACAAATAAGTAAGAGAGTCGCCCAACTGCACAAGATTCCCAGCAAAGTTCACAACAGGTAGGAACTTGATCTTCAGCAAAGATCCTCGACCATTGAACTGAGTAGCAGCTTCACCTATAGTGATTAGATCACCAACAGGGTACGGGTGCAGGACATCGACAGTGGTATTGGACGTCATGGTAACAAATGAGGGGTATAAGGATTTCAATCTTAATTTCAAAAGAATGTGATCCTATATTCATTGAGACAGATGGCTTATATACTACAACAGGTGAAAAAATTGTCATTACATTGGGTTATATTAAGAGCGCAAGGTGATTTTAGATCTACTATAGAGGATACGCGGAACCTATCCAGAGAAAATATGTGTACATACATGGCAACTATTGCACTCCAATAATTCCAACCCTTTCATTGGAACGCCAAAATATTTGGCG